GACCAGTGGTGGAGTGCACACCAACACTGGTGGTGTCAACGCTGGATCTGAGCAGATTAAATTAACTGGCAAAGTTTAACTCACAAATCAATAATGAAACACATCGATGCATTCGAAGTTTTAATGTGACGTAAGATTTAGAGGTGTTGCTGGTGCGCTGAGTGTTGCGTCAGTGTTGTCAGTACAACACTGGTGCACTGAGTGTTGCGTCAGTGTTGTCAGCACAACACTGGTGCGCTGAGTGTTGCGTCAGTGTCGTCAGCACAACACTGGTGCACTGAGTGTTGCGTCAGTGTTGTCAGCACAACACTGGTGCGCTGAGTGTTGCGTCAGTGTTGTCAGCACAACACTGGTGCGCTGAGTGTTGCGTCAGTGTTGTCAGCACAACACTGGTGCGCTGAGTGTTGCGTCAGTGTTGTCAGCACAACACTGGTGCGCTGAGTGTTGCGTCAGTGTTGTCAGCACAACACTGGTGCGCCGAGTGTGCGTCAGTGTTGTCAGCACAACACAGGTGCGCTGAATGTTGCGTCAGTGTTGTCAGCCAACACTGGTGCGCCGATGTTGCGTCAGTGTTGTCAGCACAACACAGGTGCGCTGAGTGTTGCGTCAGTGTTGTCAGCATAACACAGGTGCGCTGAGTGTTGCGTCAGTGTTGTCAGCACAACACTGGTGCGCTGAGTGTTGCGTCAGTGTTGTCAGCACAACACAGGTGCGCTGAGTGTTGCGTCAGTGTTGTCAGCACAACATGGTGCGCTGAGTGTTGTGTCAGGTGTTGTCAGCACAACACAGGTGCGCTGAGTGTTGCGTCAGTGTTGTCAGCACAACACTGTGTGTGCGCGAGTGTTGCGTCAGTGTTGTCAGCACAACACAGGTGCGCTGAGTGTTGCGTCATTGTTGTCAGCACAACACAGGTGCGCTGAGTGTTGCGCTCAGTGTTGTCAGCACAACACTGGTGCGCTGAGTGTTTGCGTCAGTGTCGTCAGCAACAACACTGGTGCGCTGAGTTTTTCGTCAGTGTCGTCAGCACAACACTGGTGCGCTGAGTGTTGCGTCAGTGTCGTCAGCACAACACTGGTTGCGCTGAGTGTTGCGTCAGTGTTGTCAGCACAACACAGGTGCGCTGAGTGTTGCGTCAGTGTTGTCAGCACAACACAGGTGCGCTGAGTGTTGCGTCAGTGTTGTCAGCACAACACTGGTGCGCTGAGTGTTGCGTCAGTGTTGTCAGCACAACACTGGTGCACTGAGTGTTGCGTCAGTGTTGTCAGCACAACACTGGTGCGCTGAGTGTTGCGTCAGTGTTGTCAGCACAACACTGGTGCGCTGAGTGTTTGCGTCCAGTGTTGTCAGCACAACACTGGTTGCGCGAGTGTTGCGTCAGTGTTGTCAGCACAACACAGGTGCGCTGAATGTTGCGTCAGTGTTGTCAGCACAACACTGGTGCGCCGAGTGTTGCGTCAGTGTTGTCAGCACAACACAGGTGCGCTGAGTGTTGCGTGAGTGTTGTCAGCACAACACAGGTGCACCGAGTGTTGCGTCAGTGTTGTCAGCACAACACTGGTGCGCTGAGTGTTGCGTCAGTGTTGTCAGCACAACACAGGTGCGCTGAGTGTTGCGTCAGTGTTGTCAGCACAACACAGGTGCGCTGAGTGTTGCGTCAGTGTTGTCAGCACAACACTGGTGCGCCGAGTGTTGCGTCAGTGTTCTCAGCACAACACAGGTGCGCTGAGTGTTGGGGTCAGTGTTGTCAGACAACACAGGTGCGCTGAGTGTTGCGTCAGTGTTGTCAGCACAACACTGGTGCGCTGAGTGTTGCGTCAGTGTCGTCAGCACAACACTGGTGCGCTGAGTTTTGCGTCAGTGTCGTCAGCACAACACTGGTGCGCTGAGTGTTGCGTCAGTGTCGTCAGCACAACACTGGTGCGCTGAGTGTTGCGTCATGTTGTCAGCACAACACAGGTGCGCTGATTTGTTGCGTCAGTGTTGTCAGCACAACACAGGTGCGCTGAGTGTTGCGTCAGTGTTGTCAGCACAACACTGGTGCGCTGAGTGTTGCGTCAGTGTTGTCAGCACAACACTGGTGCACTGAGTGTTGCGTCAGTGTTGTCAGCACAACACTGGTGCGCTGAGTGTTGCGTCAGTGTTGTCAGCACAACACTGGTGCACTGAGTGTTGCGTCAGTGTTGTCGCACAACACTGGTGCGCTGAGTGTTGCGTCAGTGTTGTCAGCACAACACTGGTGCGCTGAGTGTTGCGTCAGTGTTGTCAGCCAACACTGGTGCGCCGAGTGTTGCGTCAGTGTTGTCAGCACAACACAGGTGCGCTGAGTGTTGCGTGAGTGTTGTCAGCACAAACACATGGTGCACCGAGTGTTGCGTCAGTTTGTCAGCACAACACTGGTGCGCTGAGTTTTGGGCGTCAGTGTTGTCAGCACAACACAGTGCGCTGAGTGTTGCGTCAGTGTTGTCAGCACAACACAGGTGCGCTGAGTGTTGTGTCATTGTCAGCACAACACAGGTGCGCTGAGTGTTGCGTCAGTGTTGTCAGCACAACACTGGTGCGCCGAGTGTTGCGTCAGTGTTCTCAGCACAACACAGGTGCGCTGAGTGTTGCGTCAGTGTTGTCAGCACAACACTGGTGCGCTGAGTGTTGCGTCAGTGTTGTCAGCACAACACTGGTGCGCTGAGTGTTGCGTCAGTGTTGTCAGCACAACACTGGTGCGCTGAGTGTTGCGTCAGTGTTGTCAGCACAACACTGGTGCGCTGAGTGTTGCGTCAGTGTCGTCAGCACAACACTGGTGCGCTGAGTGTTGCGTCAGTGTTGTCAGCACAACAACTGGTGCGCTGAGTGTTGCGTCAGTGTTGTCAGCACAACACTGGTGCACTGAGTGTTGCGTCAGTGTTGTCAGCACAACACTGGTGCGCTGAGTGTTGCGTCAGTGTTGTCAGCACAACACTGGTGCGCTGAGTGTTGCGTCAGTGTTGTCAGCACAAACTGGTGCACTGAGTGTTGCGTCAGTGTCGTCACACAACACTGGTGCACTGAGTGTTGCGTCAGTGTTGTCAGCACAACACTGGTGCGCTGAGTGTTGCGTCAGTGTTGTCAGCACAACACTGGTGCACTGAGTGTTGCGTCAGTGTCGTCAGCACAACACTGGTGCACTGAGTGTTGCGTCAGTGTCGTCAGCACAACACTGGTGCGCTGAGTGTTGCGTCAGTGTTGTCAGCACAACACTGGTGCGCTGAGTGTTGCGTCAGTGTCGTCAGCACAACACTGGTGCGCTGAGTGTTGCGTCAGTGTTGTCAGCACAACACTGGTGCGCTGAGTGTTGCGTCAGTGTCGTCAGCACAACACTGGTGCGCTGAGTGTTGCGTCAGTGTTGTCAGCACAACACTGGTGCGCTGAGTGTTGCGTCAGTGTTGTCAGCACAACACTGGTGCGCTGAGTGTTGCGTCAGTGTTGTCAGCACAACACTGGTGCGCTGAGTGTTGTGTCAGTGTTGTCAGCACAACACAGGTGCGCTGAGTGTTGCGTCAGTGTTGTCAGCACAACACTGGTGCGCTGAGTGTTGCGTCAGTGTTGTCAGCACAACACTGGTGCGCTGGTGTTGCGTCAGTGTTGTCAGCACAACACTGGTGCGCTGAGTGTTGCGTCAGTGTTGTCAGCACAACACTGGTGCGCTGAGTGTTGCGTCAGTGTTGTCAGCACAACACAGGTGCTAACAGTACCCTCCTCGCTCTGTGCCTTAATTCACTTGAAATTTAAAAATCATGAACATGCCTTCATAAAATTTTATGTAAAAGTATGGAAAGCGAGAGGTAACCCACTCACAGTTGTGTGTGTGTGTGTGTGTGTGTGTGTGTGTGTGTGTGTGTGTGTGTGTGTGTGTGTGTGTGTGTGTGTGTGTGTGTGTGTGTCGAATCTCTTGCAACCCTAACTTCATATTCTCTTTTGGCTTTCCTTAATCCTTTCTTGATTTCTCTCTTAAATTGAATATATTATTTAATAAGGTAACCTTCGCCTCTTTTTTATTTGTTTGTAAATTCCTCTTCTTTTTCCTAAGAAATATTTCAGTCAATTCTTCATCCATTGAGGGTCATTTATATTTTATTAAGTTTCTCTGTTAAGAATGTGTACAGCTTGGGAGTCTTGTACAGTTTAACTTTATATTGACATGCATCAACACAGCCTAACAAGTCTTCCTTATCAACATTCCTAGTCAAGTTACCCCAGTTTATGCTACTCAGGTAATCTCTTAGGGTCGTATAATATTACTACAGCGTGAAAACTGGTTACCTTGACTTTGTTGTCATTATCAAGTGAATTCCATAAGATACTGACACGAAATGATTCGTGACCACTTTCTTCAAGTTCTTCGCTAGCTTCATGACTGTTTATCAGAAATTCCTTGTTTGTCAGAATCAAGTCAAGAAGGTTATTTCCTCGAGTTGGCTCTGGCCAAAAAAAATCTTTTAAAAAGTAGTCCTGGACTATTTATAGAAATTTGCTAGACTCTAGCTTTCCTGTCAAACTGCTCCAATCAATTCGGCTAAAGTTAAACTCTTCATTAAAACTACATTTTCAAATCTAAATACCTTAGCAATTTCTTCCCATAGAAGTCTACCGTGGTCACTAAGTTTGAATCTCTAGATCACACTTAACATTAGCTCGTCTTGTCCTTCGAGAAACCACTACTAGATTTCGTGTCTGTCCCTTCTGCTTTTATGTCATTTCTGATGCAACAATTTAAAATTTCCCTAACATACATAATAATTCCGCCCCCTGTCCTGTTGACTATCACTATGGACTAGTTTATTTCCCTGAGCGTGGCAGTCACCAGGCAAGTGCATGTTTTTGAGATTTAACCAGGTTTCAGTTACTGTAATAATACCTATATGCTAAGTTTTTCTGTGTTTTCCAAAATATAACTGACACAGCTCATACATATCTTACTTTAGGAAAAAAGACAAGCTTAGGATTTTTAAGATATAAGAATGATTTACCTTGAAATTTTGAATGATCTTATGCTTTACTTCTTCCGATCTTGAAAGAGATTTTGTTTCGTCATATAACGAAGATTTGCGAGAGGCCACAGAAATCCTGTCCAAGAGAGATGCATTCAGGATGGAGAGAAAAGACCCTTTTCTGCTATCCTGACTTCTGGGAGCTCCTGGAACCTTTAAATGGGATAATCCCTGGAGGGAACCTCTCTGGTTCTTGAAGCCCATAAATCCACGGGGGTCATATAAGGTGTTTGGTGTCAAAGAGGCCTTCGTGCCGTTGATGTTAAGGCTATGTCTTGAAGAATGTTTGTTCTGGGGAGCCAGTGCCCACTGAGGTGAGGCCAAGTTCTGTGGCACGAGGAAAGGTATAGAGCCTTGGCGCATCATCGAGTTAAGGAATGGATTTGATATATTCTTATCAAACTTCAAGCCATTTGGTGGTGCTTTTGGTCCGAGAACTAGACCTGAAATTGTTCCATAGTTTGACGTGTTTTGGTTCTTTGTCAGATGAACGTTCGGTTGATCAGATATAAGACCCAACTCAACAGTTTCCATCGGAACTTCGTATTTGACAACATTGGACTGAAGCTCTGCACTGGACTCAATATGCTGAGGAAGTGTGAAGTAGCTGGATATGGCGCTTTCACTGCTGTGCTTGTCTTCGTCTTTCTCAGTAGAAGCATTCCTCGACACCTCGCTGTTGTCCTCACTCTCACTGGTCTCGCTGTGAAAAGACTTATCTATCAGAAAGTACCTCGAACACAGACCATCTCCTGTGTGTGAAGAATCCTTGGGATTACCTATTAGGTCACCCCAACTTCTGGTGTGAGTCAATGTGAACGGAGACGGCTCAATGAGAAAGGAGTCGATGGTGTTGGGGCTACAGAGGACGTCCATGGACGCACATGAGCGGGTCATTTCTGGGGCTCCGCTAATAGTGAAGGGTGGAGGACATGGGCCAATACGCCTCTTGGACAGCGGTGACCCAGAAGGAACCATCTCGCCACCAGACATTAAGCTATAAGAACAAAGTCTACTCAGAACATATTCTCAGACACTGTTATCCAGTTGATGGTAACTGATTAGCTCGTATTAATTAGTGTAATGATTATTTCGAACTTTTTAATATGACAATTTTAACCCAGGTATCAAGATTCAGACAATCAGCATAAATTTCAATGCTTTGATCCATTCATTTAATGTATGCTGACCTTTTTTTCCACTAAAGTACACGTCAACTCACTATACGTAACTCTTCTGTGGCTCTGGATTTTCAGAGTACCTTAGCTACTGCACCACTTGATAAAGAAAACTGTACCAAGATGTGAATTTAAAACTGTTTAAAACATAGCTGAAAACAAAGTTTAAGTTACTGTCATTGATTCACCATTTTATTTTACACATAACTAAAACTTTAAAAATATAAAGTGCAATAATCTCACACTGATGATTATTCTAATTCAAAAGCCTTGTCGCATTATGTAAATGATTAATTGATAATCTTTTGCAAAGTTTCGACTAAGTAGAAAATATGTTGGCAGATGTTGTGAAGCACCACCCTCGCCGGGAGCATCAGTCATCATCATCATCATCATCATCTCGGGTTACTGACGTCGATGATGAGTCTTAAGGGAGCTCAGATAGATGTCGCTGAAATCGACGAGATCCAGACTCAAACATTCGTGGTGAAGAGCATAGGAAATAATGTAAGCAAATTCTTGCAGCCGCCTCCGGCCTGTGCACCAGCACCTCACTGTCTGTAGATCGTATAAGCGTCTATTTGAATGACTTACAAACGTTCATTTATAGGAGAATCTCCTGCCTCTTGTGTGTTATAACTGCAATGAAACATAATGAACAGTTTACAGGACCATTACTGCAACAGTATGATGATAGTAAAACCACTGTTAACAAAGACTTGGAGCCAGTATCATTGCACATATCACATGACCTCCTCAGGTAGAATGAACATTGACAAGACAAGTGTTGCCATGTTGTCGCAATGTAGCTACACACCTGCTTTACACTTGGCACTTCTACATACTATTATAGTTTCATTTGCTTAAGTTGTTTCATGGTAGCTATACACTTGTTTCACAAGTATCACTACCACATAGTACAGATATTTTCTGAATGCTACAGATCCCAGTGTTATGCATTTCGTATTTCTCGTCTTCCCAGGGTTTCGAGTAATTACTCATAGTGTTATAGGTGCTGCGGCCATTGGTCTCCAAGTTTTCCTCACGCCCCCACAGGTTTTCCGGGCACCTCCCAAACTTGTGAAACCACTCACCCACTACATTCTCAAAGTTACAATGGCTGAGTTTCATTCTTTACATTTTGTCGACTAGTTAGAGGGGAAACACTTGAACTTCTCCACACTCGTTGCATGTAACTTTCTCTATGCAGCTGTGTTTTCCAGCGGTGTGTATTATAACCAAGCACGCCCAGGGACCTAAGGGCTCCAGAGATGAGTGTGCTTAGGTCCTACTGGAGTTTGCGAGACTCTTGACCTGAGGGTCTCACACCCTGGACAATGACTTACTGGGACACATTACACTCGCCGCAGTTAACCCAAAAGGATTATGTAGTAATATGGACATTTTGCAACAAATTATTTTTCAGAGTATTATAAATATATACTGTAAAGCACTTATTTCAAACAAGTGTGGCTGAGGATAATTTTGTTACACCGACACGTTGAATGCATCACAAATTATTGCTCTGTTTTTTCTCACTATTAACGTGTGGCAAAACTGGTTCAACACTCAATTAAAGCGTGTTATAATCACACCAGCTAGTTTGTCCACAAACACGCAAGGTCAACTAAGGCTTCCAGGAGAGCACAAAAATGGAGTGAGCGCAGAGGTGTTGGTGGCCTGGAAGCTGAACCTCGAGTGGTGGAGCACAGGTGCTGGTGGTGTGAGAGCTGAACCTCGACTGGTGGAGCACAGGCAAGTGCTGGTGGTGTGAGAGCTGAACCTCGACTGGTGGAGCACAGGTGCGGGCGGTGTGAGAGCTGAGCCTCGACTGGTGGCCAGCAAGCCGGGACAACCACTCCAACAAAGCCTGGTGTTGACTCCCGGCACTCTCAAGCCTCTCCACCAGGATTTAGCAAACTTGTCTCTGGAGAGCCCGTGGCAGAAGCTTAGAAGCGCTCTCCTCTTCTTACTCCTCGATATCATCACGAGCACAGGCACGCGTGTTCGCTGAAGCTGGTCGCTTCATCGACCACGCTACCAGTCACTCAAGAGCTGGTCGACGACTGGGCCAGTGGAAGGGGCTGTGAAAACTGATAGCCAGACGAGGCTGTTTGCCTCCCACGTCCCGTCTTGTTTGCCTTGAAAACCTGATTTGTTTGTTCTGGTGATCCTTGACGGCGCAAGGAGCAGGCGATGGGTCAGGGCGAGGGGTCAGGGCGAGGGGTCAGGGCGAGGGGTCAGGGCGAGGGGTCAGGGCCCAGGGTCAGGGCGGGGGTCAGGCGAGGGGTCAGGGCGAGGGGTCAGGGCGAGGGGTCAGGGCGAGGGGTCAGGGCGAGGGGTCAGGGCGAGGGGTCAGGGCAAGGGGTCAGGGCGAGGGGTCAGGGCGAGGGGTCAGGGCGAGGGGTCAGGGCGAGGGGTCAGGGCGAGGGGTCAGGCCATTACAATGACAATTACTTTTATATTTTTATATATTTTGTACATTAGATTTTACGCATTATTCATAGTGAAGATTTCTGAGAATATTTAATTAAAAAAACACTTCATTCCTGGGCCTTGTTGACTCAACACATGTACTGGAGACAACATGTTGTACTGGAGACAACATGTGGTACTGGAGACAACATGTGGTACTGGAGACAACATGTTGTACTGGAGACAACATGTGGTACTGGAGACAACATGTGGTACTGGAGACAACATGTGGTACTGGAGACAACATGTGGTACTGGAGACAACATGTGGTACTGGAGACAACATGGGTACTGGAGACAAAATGTGGTACTGGAGACAACATGTGGTACTGGAGACAACATGTGGTACTGGAGACAACATGTGGTACTGGAGACAACATGTGGTACTGGAGACAACATGTGGTACTGGAGACAACATGTGGTACTGGAGACAACATGTGGTACTGGAGACAACATGTGGTACTGGAGACAACACGTGGTACTGGAGACAACATGTGGTACTGGAGACAACACGTGGTACTGGAGACAACATGTGGTACTGGAGACAACATGTGGTACTGGAGACAACACGTGGTACTGGAGACAACACGTGGTACTGGAGACAACATGTGGTACTGGAGACAACATGTTGTACTGGAGACAACATGTGGTACTGGAGACAACATGTGGTACTGGAGACAACATGTGGTACTGGAGACAACACGTGGTACTGGAGACAACACGTGGTACTGGAGACAACATGTGGTACTGGAGACAACATGTTGTACTGGAGACAACATGTGGTACTGGAGACAACATGTGGTACTGGAGACAACATGTGGTACTGGAGACAACACGTGGTACTGGAGACAACACATGGTACTGGAGACAACACGTGGTACTGGAGACAACATGTGGTACTGGAGACAACATGTGGTACTGGAGGCAACACATAGTACTGGAGACAACATGTGGTACTGGAGACAACATGTGGTACTGGAGACAATACAAAGGTACTGGAGACAACACATGGACTGGAGACAACATGTGGTACTGGAGACAACATGTGGTACTGGAGAACAACATGGGGGTACTGGAGACAACACGTGGTACTGGATGACAACACATGGTACTGGAGACAACACGTGTACTGGAGACAACATGTGGTACTTTGGAGACAAAATGTGGTACCGGAGACAAAAAGTGGTACTGGAGACAACATGTGGTACTGGAGACAACATGTGGTACTGGAGACAAAAACGTGGTACTGGAGACAACATGTGGTACTGGAGACAAAACGTGGTACTGGAGAAAAACATGTGGTATGGAGACAACACGTGGTACTGGAGACAACATGTGGTACTGGAGACAACATGTGGTACTGGAGACAACATGTGGTACTGGGACAAAAACGTGGTACTGGAGACAAAAATGTGGTACTGGGGACAACACGTGGTACTGGAGACAACATGTGGTTCTGGAGACAACATGTGGTACTGGAGACACTGTGGTACTGGAGAAAAACATGTGGTACTGGGGACAACATGTGGTACTGGAGAAAAACACGTGGAACTGGAGACAACACAAGGTACTGGAGACAACATGTGGTACTGGAGACAACACGTGGTACTGGAGACAACATGTGGTACTGGAGACAACATGTGGTACTGGAGACAACATGTGGTACTGGAGACAACATGTGGTACTGGAGACAACACGTGGTACTGGAGACAACACGTGGTACTGGAGACAACATGTGGTACTGGAGACAACACGTGGTACTGGAGACAACATGTGGTACTGGAGACAACATGTGGTACTGGAGACAACACGTGGTACTGGAGACAACATGTGGTACTGGAGACAACATGTGGTACTGGAGACAACATGTGGTACTGGAGACAACATGTGGTACTGGAGACAACACGTGGTACTGGAGACAAAACACATGGTACTGGAGACAACCGTGGTACTGGAGACAACATTTGGTAACTGGGGACAACATGTGGTACTGGAGGCAACACATAGTACTGGAGACAACATGTGGTACTGGAGACAACATGTGGTACTGGAGACAACATGTGGTACTGGAGACAATACATGGTACTGGAGACAACACATGGTACTGGAGACAAAAATGTGGTACTGGAGGGCAACATGTGGTACTGGAGACAACATGTTGTACTGGAGACAACATGTGGTAAATGGAGACAACACATGGGGACTGGAGACAACATGTGGTACTGGAGACAACATGTGGTTATGGAGAAACATGTGGTAACTGGAGACAACATGTGGTACTGGAGACAACATGTGGTACTGGAGACAACACGTGGTACTGGAGACACATGTGGTACTGGAGACCCAAAACGTGGGACTGGAGACAAAAATGTGGTACTGGAGACAACACGTGGTTTCGGATGACAAAATGTGGTACTGGAGACAACATGTGGTACTTGAGACAACATGTGGTATGGAGACAACATGTGGTACGGAGACAACATGTGGTACTGGAGACAACACGCGGTACTGGAGACAACACAAGTACTGGAGACAAATGTGGTACTGGAGACAACAAAGTGGTAAATGGAGACACACGTGGTACTGGAGACAACATGTGGTTTTGGAGACAACATGTGGTACTGGAGACAACAATGTGGTATGGAGACAACATGTGGTACTGGAGACAACATGTGGTACTGGAGACAACAAAGTGGTACTGGAGACAACATGTGGTACTGGAGGGCAACATGTGGTACTGGAGACAACTTTTGGTAACTGGAGACAACACGTGGTACTGGAGACAACACGTGGTACTGGAGACAACATGTGGTACTGGAGACAACATGTGGTACTGGAGACAACATGTGGTACCTGAGACAACATGTGGTACTGGAGACAACATGTGGTACTGGAGACAACACGTGGTACTGGAGACAACATGTGGGGACTGGAGACAACATGTGGTACTGGAGCAACAACATGTGGTACTGGAGACAACATGTGGTAGTGGAGACAACATGTGGTACTGGATACAACATGTGGTATGGAGACAACATGTGGGACTGGGGACAACCGTGGTACTGGAGACAACATGTGGTACTGAGACAACATGTGGTACTGGAGACAACATGTGGTACTGGAGACAACATGTGGTACTGGAGACAACATGTGGTACTGGAGACAACACGTGGTACTGGAGACAACATGTGGTACTGGAGATAACACATGGTACTGGAGACAACACGTGGTACTGGAGACAACACGTGGTACTGGAGACAACACGTGGTACTGGGGGACAACACTGGTACTGGAGGACAACATGTTTGGGACTGGAGACAACAGTGTACTGGAGACAACATGTTGGTACTGGAGACAACACATGGTACTGGGACAACACATGGTACTGGAGCAACACATGGTACTGGAGACAAACATGTGGTACTGGAGAAAAATATGTGGGACTGGAGACAACATGTGGTCTGAGACAACATGTGGTACTGGAGACAACATGTGGTACTGGAGACAACATGTGGTACTGGAGACAACATGTGGTACTGGAGACAGCACGTGGTACTGGAGACAACATGTGGTACTGGAGACAACATGTGGTACTGGAGACATGTGGTACTGGAGACAACATGTGGTACTGGAGACAACATGTGGTACTGGAGACAACATGTGGTACTGGAGACAACACATGGTACTGGAGACAACATGTGGTACTGGAGACAACACATGGTACTGGAGTCAACATGTGGTATTGGAGACAACATGTGGTACTGGAGACAACATGTGGTACTGGGGAAAAACATGGGGACTGGAAAACATGTGGTACTGGAGACAACATGTGGTACTGGAGACAACATGTGGTACTGGAGACAACATGTGGTACTGGAGACAACACATGGTACTGGAGACAACATGTGGTACTGGAGACAACATGTGGTACTGGAGACAACATGTGGTACTGGAGACAACACATGGTACTGGAGACAACATGTGGTACTGGAGACAACACGTGGTACTGGAGACAACATGTGGTACTGGAGACAACATGTGGTACTGGAGACAACATGTGGGATGGGGACAACATGTGGGGACTGGAGACAACACATGGTACTGGAGACAACATGTGGTACTGGAGACAACATGTGGTACTGGAGACAACATGTGGTACTGGAGACAACACATGGTACTGGAGACAACATGTGGTACTGGGGACAAACAAAGTGGTACTGGAGACAACATGTGGTACTGGAGACAACATGTGGTACTGGGGGGACAAACATGGTACTGGAGACAACATGTGGTACTGGAGACAACATGTGGTACTGGAGACAACATGTGGTACTGGAGACAACATGTGGTGCTGGAGACAACACATGGTACTGGAGACAACATGTGGGGACTGGAGACAACAACATTTGGGACTGGAGACAAAATGTGGTACTGGAGACAACATGTGGAACTGGGACAACACATGGTACTGGAGACAACATGCGGTACTGGAGACAACATGTGGTACTGGAGACAACATGTGGTACTGGAGACAACATGTGGTACTGGAGACAACACATGGTACTGGAGACAACACGTGGTACTGGAGACAACACATGTTACTGGAGACAACATGTGGTACTGGAGACAACATGTGGTACTGGAGACAACATGTG